AAAATACTTTGACCAGGTAAGATACTTTGAACTCTTCTGATATCACTTGCTTATCAGCCCCCGACAAGCTCAAGGATTGGATGGACTTGAAGCTTGGTACGAAGAAGATGGACCCGATCTCTAGAGAGTGGTTTGGTGAATAAGTCCGCTAATTGATCGACTGATGATATGTATCCAATTTTGAGTGCACCTGCTACTACCTGTTCACGAATAAAGTGAAAGTCTAAGGCAATATGTTTTGAGCGAGTGCTGATGACTGGATTCTTGCTCATGAAGATTGCTCCCACATTGTCACAAAAGAGAAATGGTTGTTTGAAAATCGGAGCATACAGTTCTTTAATCAGCTGGTGTAGCCACAATAATTCTGCAGTGGTGTAGGCTAGAGATCGATATTCAACATCAGTGCTTGAGCGGGCCACAACTCATTGCTTTCGTGATGTCCAATTGATGAGATTTGAACCGTGAAAAATAGCATAGCCATATTGTGAACGACTATCTTCTTTATTCGAAATCCAACCGACATCGGAGTAAGCTAGTAATGAATCGGCTTTGGTAGATGAGAAGTGAAGACAGTGGTTTAGTGTGCCCTTTAAGTATCGAAGAATGCGTTTGGTAGCTTGACAATGTTGTGTTGTTGGGGAGTGCATGAATTGGCATACACGGTTTACAACAAAGGCTATATCTGGTCTAGTAATCGTAGCATATTGAAGTGACCCAACAATTTTACGAAATAATGTTGGATCATGAAATGGCTCACCATCAGAGGTTAATCGGGAGTTGGTATCCGTGGGGGTGGATAATGGGGAAGCTTCGCTCCTTTGACTTTTTTGAAGAATATCAAGGATATATCTTTGCTGGGAAAGATGGAGACCAGTCTTGGTGGAAGTGATTTGCAACCCCAAGAAATAGTGTAAAGGACCAAGATCTTTGAGAGCAAACACATGATGAAGTTGATTGATGAATCGTTGGATTTTATTAGGGTCGCTGCCAATAATAATGACATCATCAACATACACCAATATGTAAATAATGGTGGTTGGACTGGCATGGACAAACAAAGAAGTGTCGGATTGGCAAGCTTGAAATCCTTGGGCAACTAGATAGTGTTTTAGCTTAGTGAACCAGGCACGTGGAGCCTGTTTCAATCCATAGAGAGCTTTATGTAGGCGGCATACGTGAGTGGGACGAGTTGGATCTTCAAATCCTCGTGGTTGTTTCATGTAAACAAACTCGTTTAGATCTCCATTTAAGAAAGCATTGTTGATATCTAGCTGTCAAATAGACCACCCACGAGAAATGGCAATGGAGAGAACCAAACGAATGGTTGTTGGTTTAATGACAGGGCTGAAGGTTTCAAAGTAATCCACATTTGCTTCTTGAGTGAAACCTTGAGCCACCAAATGCGCTTTATGTCGTTCAATAGTACCATCAGATCTTCGTTTTTTCCTGTAAATCCACGTACAACCAATTACATTTGCATTAGTAGGACAAGAAACAATAGACCACGTGTTATTCCTCATAAGAGCATCATATTCGGTTTGCATAGCTTGTTGCCAACACGGGATTTTAATAGCTTGAGAAAAGAGGCGTGGTTCAACGGTGGATGGATCAAAAAGAGATGTGTGAAAATGTCTAGGTTTGAGAGAGTTCGTTTGTGACCTGGTAATTATGTGATGGGTGTTATTTGGAGCAGGTCGATAATGAGAGGTTGAAGGTTGAGTGTGCTTTGCACGAGAACTGACGGTCGAGGTTTGATAGGATGGAGTATCGGGGTGAATAGGATGGGAGGGAAGTGGAGGTGTGTGGGTAATAGAAGATGTGGAAGTGGAAGAGGAGGATGGGGGAGTTAAGGATGGTGGATGCTGTGATTGTGGTGTTGTAAATGAGAGAGAAACAGCTTGGGTAAGTGTGTGAGGGGTAATATCAGAGGGAGGAGGAATATTGGATGAAGGTTTGTTGGAGGTTGGGGTAAATAAGGAAAAATGGTTTCATTAAAAACGACATGGCGTGAAACATAGACACATGATGATTGTTGATGGAAACAAAGGTACCCTTTGTGCATTGAACTATAGCCTAGAAAGATATAGGGAAGTGAGCGGAAATCAATTTTATGAGAATTGTACGGGCGTAAGAAGGGGTAGCATAAGCAACCAAAGGTTTTGAGGAAGTTGTAGTCTGGTATTTTGTTGTAAAGACATTGATATGGAGACTTAATGTGGAGAGTAGGAGTGATGGTGCGATTGTTGAGATAAGTAGCGGTTTGAAAATCATGTTCCCAAAAAATATTTGAAGGGACGACTGGGCTAACAAGGTGAGGCCTTTTTCGACAATGACACGGTTATGGCGTTCGACGGCCCCATTTTGTTCTTGTGTATAGGGACAAGAAACACGGTGTTGAATGCCATGGGTGTGGAGAAAAGTGGAAACATTTCTATATTCCCCACCCCAGTCGGTTTGAAGGGCCTTAATGCCGCGTTTAAATTGGGTTTTGACCATTTGTTTGAAGTGGACAAAAGTGGAGAAAACTTGAGATTTGTTGGATAGGAAATAAATCCAAATGTATTTGGTACAATCATCAACAAACAGAACGAAATAACAATGTCCATTTATTGAAAATAAGGGAGATGGTCCCCATACATCTGAGTATACAAGATCAAATGGAGATAAAACAGAAATATGAGAAGTAGGTAAGTGTAAACGACGACTTTTCCCGAGCTGGCATGAGTTACAAACAGTGGGAAAATGCTTGGAAGAAACAGGGAGCTGGAAGGAGGAGAGAAGTCTGCGCAGTAGTGACTCATGTGGATGAGCCAAACGTTGGTGCCAATCGTGAACAGATGTGCGAACCCCTGAAAGAGCCAAGGGTGAAGAACACTTATTGATGAGGTTTGGTACACGATAGAGACCATGGTCAACGTCCCCTGGAGAAGAGTTTGACCCTGCAAATTCTTGACAAAACACTGGTTACGCCATAATCCCATATAAACGTCATTATCTTTGGTTAATTTAGATACACTTAGAAGATTCTTACTTAAGTTTGGAGCTACTAAGACGGATGGCCAATTTAAGTTATGCAATGAACTGACACCAATATGAGAAATAGTCATGTGATTACCATTGCCAACCTTCAACTTATCGGTGCCATGGTAGTCTTCAGCAAGAGTAAGTTTGCTAATATCCGGAATGACATGGTCCGTTGCACCGGGGTCAAAGTACCAGGCAGGGTCGACTACTGTGGATGAGGTGGTAGCGTGAGCAATGTGAGCCTGGCGAGAAGACTGTCTGGGATTAGGTCGTCTGGAGGGATAGTCGGTTTGGTTGTTTCTTTGCCAGCAGTCGATAGCTTCATGGCCGGGATGACTACATAGCTGACACATAGGGCGACGCTGACGATTGTCGGGATTTCGCTGTTGACCAGAAGCATGAGAGTTATTTGGAGATGGTTGGACCCGGGTAAAGGATCGTTGTGCTGCCAAGGCGGTGGAATTGGAGATAGGTGAGGCAGAGATTGGAACAGAATTGAGAAGTGGAGCGTGGCGAGTATGTTCATGTTCAATTCGTGCCTCTTCTTGCAGAAGAAAACCAACAAGATCGTCAATAGTGATGTTATCCGACTGCATCATGAACGCCGTGGCAAAGGCGGCATAGGAGGAGTCAAGTCTCGTGAGAATGTAGCTAATCAAATCTTCCTCTGGAACTGGGTGAAGATTCTCAGTGAGAGAGTCCGCAATGGACTGTTTGCGTTGAATATAGTCAATCATTGAGAGCGATCCTTTTGACAGATTCTGAAGTTGGACTTTCATGGCCATGCGACGGGCCATAGTTTGAGACTGAAAACTTTTCTCTAGAATAGTCCAAGCAATACGAGAAGTGGAGGCCCGAACGACTAAGGAGAGAGCCTGTTCAGAAAGTGTCGATTTGATCCATAAAAGGACAAATCGATCTCTTTTCTTCCAAACGGCATATTCGGGATTAGGTTTAGGAGCAGGTGCAACATCGTCGTCTGAATCACTAGAGAGATAAGTTTCAGCAGGTGGATTGGAATCGGAGACGAAGGATTCCCAGTCAAAGGTTTCTAGGGCAGAGGTTACTGTAGATCGCCAAAGGGGGTAGTTATCCCTGTCAAGTTTGATAGAAATTGGCGGTATCTCAAGATTGAGAGCAGGGGTTGCGGATGTGGATGTGGCATGGGCCAAGAGAGAAGCGCCGGAACTGGCCATTAGAGTGTTCGTCGGAGCAAATCACCGGAAGGTAGAGTGAGAGCAAAAGAAAAAAATAATCAAATGGCTCTCGATACCATATGGAGAAAGTGTATGACTGTAAAATGAATGTTTGTATTCACTGATGGATGTTGTACATATACAAGCTGTGTATTTATATACAGGGGAAAAGAAGGAAAAATGAGTCTTATCTATACTGCACTAAGTAACGGCACCCAAGACTAGGTAAGATACTTTGACCAGGTAAGATACTTTGAATTTTTCTGATATCACGTGCTTATCATGGTGCGGTTCCAAGTGATCTTTTATGCTTTTGGGATCACTTCTTGTACATGTATGATGTTTGTAATTCCGTTTATCAGTGCAATAATACAAGGTTACAATATTTCTCTTTGGTGGATTTATTTGTTAGATTATTGCTGTTTCATATGTTTGGATTGTATTAGACATTATTATCTTCATATTTCCACATCCTATCTGTTCCGTTTCGGCGTTTCGGTTGTTGGGTTTGGGACCTAAGGGTAGGGGTTCCCTAAACACTTCCATCATATAACTTCGATTTTAATCCACATGTATAGCAATATCATTTGCATCATACAAAAACAAATAAAGTTATAATAATATACAGTTAGCGGATTGCCACATTACATTTCTTTTTCGCATTTGAGCTAAATTCCAAAACCTTTCTAGTCGACCAGACCTACATCCTCATTGTCATTGACATTCTTTCGTCATTCGCTAATCAACCAGAAAACCAGTTTAAGGAGAAAAAAAACACAACCCGATTACACAACAAGAATGAATCCCATAAACAAAATGATGCGAAAAAAAAGAAGAAACAATGTTTTAATGTTTTTGATGTAGAAATCGACCAAGTATCAAGTTCATTACACGTGTACACTTTGACACATTTCGATACATTCAAAGTTGTGTTCTTGAAAGACACCTCCATTGTCCCACCTGTGGTCCCTTATCCAAAAGTACTAGCATCCCCGCATTCTTCGCATTCATACCAAATATATACCTAAACACAAATAACCAAAAAAAAAAAAAAAAAAACATTCTTTAATCAAAATGATTCAAAACCAAAACTAAAATTCATAAATTTACTTACTTGGTTTCACGTGATCTTCCTCTCCACAATACAACCGATGTAACCCACTATCATAGATCACAAGATCAATGGAGTTAAGATGGAATCCAAAAGAAAAAGTGAAGAAAAATTCATACAAAAATGTTTCTGAAATGATTACCTTGAATGCTGAGTCGATATAAAGATTCCCAAGACCAGATCGTTTGTATGCCGGAATCCTGCCGGCCGGCGACATATCCTTACACAAATTCTGAGCGATTTCTTTAAGTAATACAAGTTGTGCTTTATCAGTTCGCATATTTATAATCGCTTGCCTCATGGATTCCCTATCGGCTTCTAATGCATGTAGTCTCGCATAAAGCTTCATCACCTCTGGATCTTGTACATCAGTATGACACGTGGACTCCTTCACGACACTCATGTAATCATCATTACATGTTCCCATATTATTACCCTTTTGATAATGAATAGAATCAACAGTGTATATCCTATCACTCATTTCACTTCCATATTCGGAAACACTATCAACTTTCTTGTTGTAATCTTGTTGTGTCTGGTTTTGGTTCATCATATGATCATGTCGTTCTTCTTTGATAGTTGCATAAAACGAAGCAGAACTATCTAAAGAAAATCGAGTAGAAAGTTTTGATTTTCTTGGAGAATGACCCACGATTACTTTATCGAGTACTGGTTGTTCTAATTGATTGATTCGTTGTTCTATGTCTTTTAACGAACGTGGGGTTTCACCAAATGCGTATTTGTCTATATCGATTGCTTCTTTTTCAGATTCTTGATAAACATGGTGTTCATGTACATATTCATGTTGATCATGTTGGTGTTCTTCGTGTTCATGTTCATTCGAGTTGCATTTGAGAGGAGGGTATTCAAATGGAAGGAAATCGAATTGGTTTTCTGAATGTGCTGCGATGCTGTTACTGCTTGTAATGACGTATTTTTCTCCTTCTGCTTCAGATTCAGTAAGACCATAACTCATCATTCGATATTTATACGCCTGAACTTCACATGTTAACGATTGGATTGTTTGTTCTCGTTTATACAACAAATCTTCCAACACTGCAATTTCATGTTGATCGTGACTCGTTTTCTGTTCAGAAAACCGTTTGAATTGGCGCGCCTCCATTTCAATTTCAGCTTTTTCACGTTGCAATCTCAAGATCATTGACATGGCTTCGTTCGCAGCTGAAGAAGCTGCATTACGTTCTTCTTCAAGCTCAACGGAAAGATCGCGGATGGATTTTTGTTGATTGTTAACCATTTCTCGTAACGCACCACATTCGTTTTCGATCTCTATATGAGCGACTTGTGGACATAAGATCATGAATTTCTCTCGTTCGACTTCAAGTTCATCGAGCTTTCGTTTCACAGATCGAATCCATGTTCTTGTGCATGATCCGTTAACAGTAGGGCTAGAACAATTGTAACCACATTCACATGAATTTTTGATCATTTTTTTCAATGGCTGGATGTCCGATTCCATGATGATCGGAGCAAATGTGCATCAAATGTCAGTAATCAAAACAAGAGTAAAAACAAAGCCAGTTTATATCAGATTCTTGATGCCACCAAACCCCCCACCCCCCTGAGAAGATATAATCGAAAAGTATGCAAAATTTTCCCTCTTCCTAATTCCCCAGAAAATCATAAATCCTTCGAGATCAAAGAAAACGACTATAGGGCCCTGTAATTTGTCAAATTAATGTAAACAAATTAAGAATCATGATTCAGAAGCATTGATATAAACGATGGATATGGCAGATTAGAATCATGTACCTTGAATGGTTTGGGTGTATAAAACAAGGGCCCAATGGGAGTTCAGGTCATGACTGTTGAAGATTGGAGGTGGAATTTCCTCAAGAGAAATGGGAAATTCCATGGAACCAAATATGTAAAAGATGAAGGGGAATGAAGGGTGGATCAAATTTTCCGGTGGGAATTGTGGTGGAAAGAGAGGGAAAAGAGGAAGAGGTTGGGAGATTTGAAGCCCTAAACGTCCAATTTTTAAGGAGTATTTTCTTGGGAAACACGAACAATATTTTTAGTTTTAAATGTAAAGATGGTGTAAAAAATAAAATCATGTTCCTATCGATATGTTTTTAATCAATTATTTATTTTTAGTATACAAATCTTATAAAAACTAAAAGTGCAATATTTAATAAAGAAATATTATAAAAGTGCACTATATGCAATATTTAGCAAAACAATGACAGTGAGACGGTATCTTGATGGAGTTTTTTTTTTTTTTTTTTTTTTTTTTTTTTTGCAAAACTAGGTTGAGAATGTAATTTATTATTCTTATTATTTTTAAAATAGGATACGTGGGTACATTTGATTTTTTCAAACGCATACCTTATATTGGAACTAATTAAATATATTGACCGATTATCCATTTTTCAAACCTGATTTATCTGAACTGAAAACGGGTTGGGTGGATTAGTCGGCTCTTGGTGATTTTCAATGGGTTTTAACTCAACCCGCATATATTCGCCTAATATAAATTAAATCTATAGACCATGGGTACGATTTCACTCAAATTGCTTACTTTTACATTACATTTGGTATACACACGATTCAAAAATTACAATATCTTTTACTCCCTTGTATATATCAAAATTTATAGACCATGGATACGAATTTACTCAAATTGCTTACTTTTACATTAAATTTAGTATAACCACAATTCAAAAATTATAATATCTTTTACTCTGTTGTATATATCAAATTTGATGCAAGTATATCGATCTAATTATATAAAATATAGAAAAAACATCATAAATAATCCCTGTAGTTTTTATAAATCTGAAGTTTAATCTTCATGGTTTAAAAGCATCATAGATAGTCCTTTTGCTTTTAAAACTTTTGACGATTGATCCTTATGTTAACTCCATTAAGTTTTGTCCTTAACTGAATGACATTTTGTAACACCCTTAAATTCACAGTCATTTAAAAAAAATATATTTATGCTTATTGAAAAATCAGAGTATCCATTTTAAACAACAATATTGCGGAATTTGTTCCTAGAAAATTTGATAACTATATTATCAAAGCATTTCCGAATAAATGTATTTTTTTATATTAAAACAATGTGATATCATTGTTAATACAGAAACATAAGCATAAACAAAACCTTACATTCATTTACACTAATGATTTGCATCTTTTTTAATCTCTCACCAGAATGTATCTTTTATATAGCCACATGTGATACAATAAATTGAGTGGGTCAGGTTGGGAAACCTGGTAAGTACATAATGTTTTAAACCCACAATAATATAATTATTATGTTTAATCATCAAATAACTTACCCAATTTCCCATCCCCATTATCTTATTTATTCTTAAGGATCTACCCTAAGAATCATTTATTCTTCCATATTTATTCTTAAGGATTTTCCTAAGGAATACACATGAAGTCCATAGCTGCCAGGGTTTATCTAACAAACACTAAGTCCATAGCTACTGATGGTATCTATTAGGCATTAAGTCCATAGCTGCTAATGTTATCTATTAGGCACTAAGTCCATAACTGTTAATGTTTATAGGGCACTAAATCCATAGTTTCCAACATCCATTCATAAGACACTAAGTCCATAGCTGCTAGAGTTTTTAGAGTACATCTGGTGAACACATCATTCACAAACACCTACAGGTTACGAGCATACCAGCGTTCTACTGGACTGTCTAGAATAGTCCGTGGTCGTCATCTATACTCTACTAGATGACTGGATCATCGTTAAACTCAAGGCTTCTCATCATCTTTATCATTTCTCACCTCTCGTCATCTATATCATCTTTCATATTCATCATTCATCTACCTAGCTTTACCCAATATATTTATAGGTATAAAAATACATGTACAGTTTAAATCACGTAAAACATGTATAAATCGTTCATCTAGCATATATATTAGGAACACAGATAATAAGCACATATAACATATATTAATATTAAATACTTCATATCTATGTGTAATATAAAAGTAACTATGCACTCACTTGTTAAAGCGACGACTCGAAATTCGGACAACACTTCGCTTCTAGCTATTGTCTTTTTCATTGACGTAACCTAGTGTCATCATCACTAAGTTTTAGTATAATATTTATTACGGTTAATTATTAATCTAGATTCATCATTAACTCAAAGTCTACTTCAAGATCTATCAAGTAAGGAACAACCAGGTATGATCATATTGGAGGTAGGGTCCGTTTGGTATACAAATTATACTGTTTGGAAATCCCACTTTAGACACCTCACTAAATCAAAGCCTAGACATCATCCTTGTAAGTAGATCAATCAGTATAACAACTTGGAATCATTAATAAATCTTGTTTATAGACTCATAATAACGATAATGAATTTAAACATAAGTTATACTTAAATTATGGTAAGCATAACTCACTTACAAAGGGGTTTAGCGAGGAATCGAGATCTGATGGAGCAAAACTTCTGAGTCGAAAGCACTTCTTCTTGGGGCCTTTTGGTGCTCCGGGACTCACTACTAACACCTAGGATGATCTATGGAAAAACCATAAGTGTTTGGGAGGGAATTTGATGAGATTGGTGTGGAGAAATGAGGAAAAACAAGTTCTATTTATAGGTTGCTAGCACCTGCGTATGCTGGACGTACGCAAGGGTACACTGGCCATACTCATGCCACATGTCGCGATCAGATGCCAAGCCATAGGGAAAAGGTGTGGCTGAGATGGTGCCACGTGTCACCTCAGGATATTAACTCCAAAATTAATTATCTTCTAAATCCCGTAAATTTTGCATAAGAGCTCCGTTTCTGCTGTTCCTTATATCCACGCATAGGTAGCAACGTGATCGACAACTTTTGTTTAAACTCTGTCGGCTAATTTTGACTTTATTTTTAAAGTTATATTTTAACAGACTTAGACAGTTAAAGTCCGTTAAAAATTCATAACTTTGTCTATTTTTGGCTGTCTTTATATCGTTGAACTCTTATTAACGATATCTTTAATTCTCGTTTAGGTTGTGTCGACTAAAAATCGACCAGTCTAAAATTCAGTTTCCGTGCTGTGCACTACTATACTAAATCTTAGAAAAATCATAACTTCCTCAAACGAAGTTAAATTAGGATGTTATTTTTATTTACGTTATCAGTTTTACGTATACTACAACTTTCGTTTAGATTACTAAGGCTAAAAAGCAATTTATCAAAAATTTACTGAAACATCTAAAAAATCATGACCAAAAATTTCATTTTTAATTATTAAATAAAACCATATTTTTCAAAATCATCTCAACAAAACATAAGTCATAGTATCTCAAAAAATCATGAACGGTATATCAATAAAAAACATCTGTCATATACATCAGAGTAAACATCCAGGCTAAAGCATCATTGTATGTGCAATGCAGTCATCCCAAGCTCTTCTCTTTGCTACCGGAAGTACCTGAAACCAAAACTGAAAACTATAAGCACGAAGCTTAGTGAGTCTCCCCAAACTACCACACACCATACACATAATCACATACAAACATATTGTGGGCCCCGCCCCTTCATCAAGCCCCACACGACATCGGACAAAGTCTGACATCGGGTCCCGCTCGACATCGAGCAAAGCTCGGTATACATATATATATATATATATATATATATATATATATATATATATATATATATATATATCAATAATATACACACAGGTAATCACATAAAACAAACATATAAACATTCCTCAGGCCCCGCCCGACATCGGACCGAAATCTGGAAGCATACAAACATTCCTCGGGCATTGCCCAACATCAGACCGAAATCCGGAAACATACAATATAGAATCACGAAGACATAAATCATACAAACATTCCTCTGGCACCACCCGCCATCAAATCGAAATCCGGAAACATATAAACCTACATCAGGCACTGCCCAACATCAGATCGAAATCCGAAACATGTAAACCTACATCGGGCACTACCCGACATGGGCCTTAGTCCATAACATACTACATACATATACGAGCCGATATTGGTGCCTTTGACCTGTTCATACAGGAGGTAAACTTGTCACACCCCCGAACCAGACGGCGGAAACGTCCGGGGGCTGTTGTGACTCAATTGAATACCATCACCGTGAATATACATGAAACGTAACATCATACATCACCAAGCATTGGAATAATACAACTGGTAGCGTTTACATCCATTACATTGTTTCAAAATATTACGTTCCAAAATACATTGTTCATTGTTACTTAAACAACCGCAAAACAATCATAGAGTACAGTCCTTTCTTCACTTATCTGTTACCTGAGAATACAAGTATTTTGAAAAACGTCAACATGTGAAATGTTGGTGAGTTCATAAGTAATGTTTGAAATCCAATGTTTGTAATGTTTTGAAAAACCACCAGAAAATCCGATATTTTCTGAAAATAGAATAGCGTAAAAATATGTGAAGATCCGTGAGTATGCTTGTTTGAATTCTATAGATGTAAGCGTAAGAGTTGTGAAATTCGACATGTAGTTCATAAGTGTACTTGTTGAAAACCCTAGGAAAACCCGTCGTTTTCCTATCACTTTGCTTTACTTAGTTTGTGTACTGTTATTTCGTTACGTTAGAGGTGTTCGTTGAGCTTTGGAGGCATTGAGTATACAGAGGGTGGTGAATTGTTGTAACGTACGTTAATGAAAACGTCCAGTTGACAACCGTACTAGCGATCCCTTAGGCGTCACTCGCAATTATTCACACAACTCAATCCTCCCGGACTTGTGTAATCCCACGACCGAGGAGAAAAAGTGAAGGTGCGAAACCCTCGGTATTTCCCTACGTCGTTCAAGACCATTGCAATTGCGAAGGGCCCGAAGCCCAACCCGCAATCGTGAGTTCCCGACTTTACTAGCAGCACTGAAGGACCCTTGGGGACCAGCAGCATGTTTGCCATTGAAATTTCCTTTTACACGCGGTCGGGTCGTATTAGACCCAACTACATGTAAGC